CAAGCAACTCAAGACAGGCACACCTTCCAAGAAGGGGACTTCTCATGCAGGCAAAGCCGTGTCCAACAAGCCTCGAACCAAGTCTCTCGCGACCACCAGGCGATCTAGTCAACAGGTCGGGAAGCAGCAGGCACCACCATCCTCTGCTGTACTCAAGCGGGAAGAACTTCACATCAGCGTCGAAGGAATACGCGTCGTTCTCATCGGTGATGTACATGAGATGCCCATGCTCGATTGGCGCGTGAAGAAGTTTGGTGTTGACGTAAGAGACTGGTCAGGAGCGATGGTTGCCGACACCTCGCTTGACACACTGGTCAACGTGTACAACTTCTCCAAGTCTGCGTGGGAGCCGCTCATTGAGCCTTGGGCCGTTGGCTTCCACATGTCCAAGGATCAGAATCCCGACAAGCTAGCCGTCGATATCTACTCCCGCAAAGCTATGGAGCTCACGGTGACAGCCGCGACGATCGCACTGGGATCCAAGTCGTTCGACTTCCTCACCAGCGAAGATGACATCTTGTCTAAGCCTCGAGGTAGCGACGCTCCGTACCGTGTACGCAACTACACTGGTTTCAGCCTCGATGTCTGGGCTGAGGGCAAGGAGCAAGAAGGCTTTGCAGCTAAGCTTGAAGACGGAGAAGAGCAGCCTTGGCGATTCGAGGACCCCATGTCGACCAGAGAGTCACTCTCCACGGATGGCGCAACCGGCATGCTTGGTATCAAGCTGCAGGGCAGTGGGTTCGATACTCTTACACGGGTACCTGTTCACCGAGAAGGCGAGTTCCTGTACAACCTCAAACCAAAGCAAGACCGCATCCAGCATCGTCTATTGATTGAGGTAAAGCTTGGTGCCGACAACATCAAGAACATCACCATTCGTTCCCCAATGTTGGTAGAGAACAACACCCAGATTCCAATCGAGCTTGGCATGTACAGCCCAGAGGACGGTCATCTCCTAAAGATCGACAAGATCGCTCCTGGAGATGCCAGACCAGCACCGGTCGGCGCTTGCTTCATGCACTCTATCGTAATCCGTCCCGATCAAGGCTTCGGCTATGCTTGGTCTAACGAGCGCTTGTTCTGGAAGGACTTGCTCAAGCGACCCACGAGGACAATCACTTGCCGTGGCGAGCAAGACGACCAATCGCCGCCGTTCTACTTCCAACTCCATGCGGCCTACGACAAGAAGGACCCTCTCACTGGCGTCTACCCGTACATGCGACTACGCCTCCAGGCACCAGTCGAAGTGCACAACCTTCTTCCATACGACTTCAAGTATAGGATCTACGACAGCAACACGAAGAAAGACTGGACGAACTTCCTTAGAAAGGGTGGTATCAGCCCAGTTCATGTAGTGGAACTGTCGCATCTTCTCCTCATCAGCGTTGAGATGCAGGATGGGCCTTTCAAGCCCAGCAAATTTGGCATCATCAACTCGACCGATCGCGAGAGTTTTAGGAGAGAGAAGGTGTTGGAGGTCAAGGACAACAACGACACTACTCTGCACCTCAACATGCATTTCTTGTAAGTACATTGCATTGAGATCTAGTTGCAAGTACTAACAGTTTTCAGCAACTTCCCCGACGGCGGCGGCGCTTTCAAGGTTGCGATCTACAGCCCTTACATCGTCCTCAACCGTACCGGTCTTCAGCTTGATGTTCGAGCTCAGCAGCTCATGGGCCAAGCCAGAGCTGCTGCTGGACAAGGTGTCGTAACAGACAACCAGAACGATGCTGGCAAGGCCTTACCCTTCATGTTCTCTTATCCGACAGAGAACAAGAAGAACCGTGCCCTCATCAGGGTTGGCGAGTCAAACTGGAGCAAGCCTCAGAGTTTCGATGCGATCGGTAGCACATACACGGTAGCCTTGCCCTCGAAAGCGGCACGCTCTGACATGCACTTGGGTGTCTCTGTCTCAGAGGGCGAAGGCAAGTACAACTTGACCAAGACCGTTTCCATCGCGCCGCGCTTCATCGTCAACAACAAGATGAAAGAGGAGCTACTCATCCGAGAGCCTGGCCAGTCTGATTGGATGACAGTGAAGGACGGCGAGCTGTTCCCTCTCCGCTGGCTGCGACAAGGCGGAGCACCACAATTGTCCCTCTGCTACCCCGGTGTTAACAACCAGTGGTCCTCTCCCTTCAACATTTCCAACGTCGGCAACGTCCACGTCAAGCTTTCGAAGGCTGGACAGCGCCAGAAGCTTGTTCGTGTCGACATTTTGATGGAGGCAGCAACGATCTTCTGCCATGTCAGCGTTGAGAACAAGCACTGGCCGTTCTCATTCAAGAACATGAGCGACCAAGAGTTCTTGTACTGGCAAGCTAACCCCAACCTGGATGAGGACGAGGATGACCGCGGTTCCGGTTTCCGACCGATCAGGTACCGCCTGCCTCCTAGGAGCATCATGCCATATGCGTGGGATTTCCCGGCTGCGAAGAACAAGGAGATCGTTATCAGCGCCAATGGCCGAGAGCGACATGTCAAACTTGCCGAGATTGGTCCGCTCATTCCATTCAAGATACCGCCTGGTCAAGAACGTGGCGGCATGAAGGTCATCGATCTGAACGTTGTCGCAAAGGGTCCCACGCAGACTCTCGAAGTATCGAACTACAAGCCATCTAAGAGTATGTACAAGCAGAAGTCTGCTGGCTCATCCTCGACGGCGACCGGCTTCGAGGTGAAGGACATGGACACAGACGTTACTTTCAAGGCGCAGATACGCCTTGCTGGTATCGGCATATCGCTCGTGAACCGCCACCTGAAGGAGCTGGTGTATGTTACACTACGCGACATCGAGATGAAATACTCCGACTCGCCCCTCTACCAGATGGTCAACATGCAAGTCAAGTGGATTCAGGTCGACAATCAACTCTACGGTGGCATCTTCCCCATCATATTCTACCCCAGTGTTGTTCCGAAGACGGGCAAGGAGATGGAGGCGCATCCCATCTTCCAAACGACCATCACCAAGGTCAAGGACGATTCGTACGGTGTGCTCTACATTAAATACTTCACATTCCTGCTCCAGCAGATGACGATCGAAATCGACGAGGACTTCATCTTCGCCATGATCGACTTCGCGAATATCCCTGGTGCTTCTTGGTCCGAAGAGAAGCAGGGCAAGCTATGGGACGACAATCTCAGCATACCCGAGCCAAAGCAGGAACAATCTGGCCAGGACGTCTACTTCGAGCTCCTCCATCTGCAACCTATGCAGATCGATCTGTCGTTCGTCCGAACAGAGCGTATCAACGCTGAGGACACCATGAGCACTTCCAACCCATTCATGTTCGCCGTCAATGTTCTCACCATGTCAATTGGAAACGTCAACGATGCACCAGTACGATACAATTCTTTGATGCTAGAGAACGCTCGCATTTCGACAACTGCGTTGATCAACAACATCAAGAACCATTACGTGCAGGAGTCGCTGCGACAGGTGCACGTCATCATCGGATCCGCTGACTTCCTCGGTAACCCAGTTGGTCTATTCAACAACATCAGCTCTGGTGTTGCAGACATCTTCTACGAGCCGTACCAGGGTCTCGTCAAATCGGATCGACCCGAAGATCTTGGCATCGGTATCGCGAAGGGTGCATCAAGTTTCGTCAAGAAGTCCGTGTTCGGATTCTCAGACAGTATGGCCAAGTTCACTGGCAGTATGTCAAAGGGTCTCTCTGCGGCCACCTTGGACAAAGAGTTCCAGGACCAGCGTCGCATGTCGCGGTCTCGCAACAGGCCCAAGCACGCGCTCTACGGTATCACATCCGGTGGCAATGCCTTCGCCAGCAGTCTCGCCAGTGGTCTTGGTGGTCTCGCCCGTCATCCCATCCAAGGAGCTGAGAAGGAAGGTGCCCTTGGTTTCGTAAAGGGAGTCGGCAAAGGACTGCTGGGTGTACCTACCAAGGCCGCCATCGGAGCCTTTGACCTTGCTTCCAACATGGCAGAAGGTGTGCGCAACACAACCACCGTCTTCGACCAAGAAGGCCTCGACCGCGTGCGCCTGACGCGCTTCATTGGCACAGACGGCATCGTGCGCCCCTATTCTCAACGCGAAGCGCTCGGTCAGTTCTGGCTGAAGACACTTGATAACGGCAAGTACTTCAACGAAGACTACATTGCGCATCTGGAGCTGCAGAACAAGGAGATGCTCGTTATGCTCACATACAACGGCCTTATGATGGTGCGCACGAAGAAGTTGCAGACTGAATGGGATGTGCCGCTCAAGGACGTTCAGACCATCAGCAAGGAGAGGACGGGACTGGGTATCACGCTCAAGGGAGGCACGAATGGGCCTTTTATCCCGGTTAGTGATGAGGAGAGTAGGAATTGGTTCTACCGACAGGTTGCTGTGGGTGTTAATGCTTATAATGACCGGTGGAATGCGAAGGGTTGATTGAGATGGGGAATCAGGCAGCAGATGGGGAGGTATAATGAGGTTTATGAGTACATGGCATAGCGCGGTTTTGGAATGCGTTTCGGTTTCGATTGGACTCCTATAATGTATACTCTTTCTATCAATCCGACAGTTTTTCTCTTGGAAAAATGCAGCAACACGATCGTGCGTCATCTTCTTTATTGACTTGACAATATGGCCGGACTGGAGCGAGGCTGGGCCGAATTACGATCGAACTGACCACATGGCGCGTGAAAGCCCCACCGCGTAACGGCACATTTTGTCTCATGGTGACAGCTCCTTCGTGTTATTTACGGGTCGCGGCACCGTTGCGATCCACTACGAGACAAGGATCACGATTGCGATGCCGAAGCATGGCCGGCGATGATGAAAAGCATGCATGACGTCAGACTGGCGTCGCGCGTCAACCTGCGGGGGAAGCTTGTAGCTGGAATCGCAAAGTACTATCTAGCCCTATCTTCTCTTTGTCTTCTTCCCAATATACCCAGCTCGTGCTTTGTGTACATACCTGCACCCGCGTTGTACATCACTCTTGCTTTTCCCTACCCCATCTTACACACCTACTACCCGCTAATCTAATATGCTTCGCAACGGAGCGTCGCGCCTCGCGCTGAGGTCCGCAGCAGCGCCCCAGTCGGCACGCCCGGCTGCGAGCTTCACCCGCACAACACCTTCTTCTCTGCAATGGGCAACACAATTTGGTTCTCTGGCTGCGCGGAGACCGCAATTAGCACAGGCGGCTGCTGCTGCGCAATGGAAGCCTGCGGGCGCGGTCTTGCGCCGCAGCATGGCTGATAAGACGTTGACGGAAGGGCAGAAGCAGGCGGAGAGCAGATATGCGCACGAGAAGATTAAGCCCACGCCCGAGACGGTGACGAGTACTAGTTCGACGCATCCTATGTTTTCCGAGGTGGGCACCGAGCAGCCGCAGAATGAGGTGGATATGGCGGCGGGGTTGAAGCATGATGTGGTATGTATATCAAGTTCTCTCTGCGCAATATTGACGACGTCTTTTGGTTATGGATTCTAACAAATACCAGGGCACAATCAAAGAAACTTTCTCCCTCGCTGAAGTCCCGCGCGAAGCATACTACATGGGTCTCGCGGGCACGCTTCCCTACCTCGCAACCTCCATCTCCACCGTGTATCTCTCGTGGGAACTCAACCACTCCACCGCGGGTTACGGCATGATCTTCTCTCAAAAAGACGCTACATACCTCCTCTCCCTCATCGAGCCCCTTCAAATCGGATACGGCGCGTCCATCCTGAGTTTCCTGGGCGCTATCCACTGGGGACTCGAGTGGGCAGGCTACGGAGGCACACAGGGCTACAAGCGCTATGCGATTGGCGTTGTAGCACCCATGGTAGCATGGTCAACATTGCTCATGCCCATTGAAGGCGCGCTCATCTCGCAGTTCTTGGGTTTCGTTGGGTTGTACTATGTTGATACTCGTATGTCCTTCTCCCTTCTCCCTCCTCCCTTTCTCCCTTCTCCCTTCTCCCTACACCCATCGCCATACTC